TGATGACAGCAAAATCAGGTCTGCAAGATGCATTTTCATTAGCTAGCTGTATATTGTTTAGGTTTAAAATGACTAGTTAAGTTAACTGAGAGAGGTTTAAAAAATGTTTAAAAGTAAAACTGAAATACAACGTAAAAAATAACTGAATCAGATGGATGAAAGAGAAATGCGGTGAAGGCATACTTACTTTCCGCTTGAACAATCGTGCAAGAAATCCAAATTTATTATTAGATTCGTTTTTGCTATTTTCACCTCTAATCGGGTCATTACGCAAATCCAACACTAGTTCACCATTCTCCTCCATCACGTTGAGCTCTCGGAAACATTCTGTTTCAATCATCTATAAAAAACACATGCAGTTATAAATCAAACAGCTATCTAACTAGCTTACAGCTACCTAACTTGTAAAACTCAACACAGTATGAAATAAAGAAAAAAGGTTGAAATAGCCAGCGCATCTGTGAAGCAAAATGCAATTCTAACAATTTTGAAGAAGTCGTGAAGAGATTGCAGCACAGGTTACCGGATAATCTCATCTGTGAAAGTGAACAAAGTGAGCAGAGAAACCTAGATAGTGGGATAATGCTTAATGAATGGCTATCACTGAATTATGGTAAAAGATTCAAGTTTCTCACAGACTTCTTGGACAGACTTTAGATAACTGATTCACGAGAAAAATTGGAGGTTTCAACAATCTCGTGTTGAAACAGTTGGATTTAAACCAATGTCCAATATTAGGTCAGAAAGCACGATATCTAGAAGAACTTATACATGCAGTGTATACTAAACTGAGAGAAAGCTTTATGAAATAAATTAGAGAAAACTGGCAAACTAAAGAAACTGTAAATTTATGAATGCATCGAAAAGCTGGTTAAATTTGACATTAGTTTTAGATCATAAGTAGCAGAAATTGTATTAACAAGAATCACAAGTTAAATCAGAAACGATTTATTAATTAAACTGCATCCATAATCATTGGTTGCTTCAAAAAGAAGATTAACAAATGTATGTTTGCATAAAATACATTAAAAGTTCAGCTCACTGTGACCTGAAGAATTTGTATAACAATATACGAATGGAATGGAACTAAATTTTTCATGAAAACCAAAATAGTCACTGAAAACCAATTTTCCAACATAATCCAAGGTTTACATCATTCATCTCAACTATCGACGGCGATGCTTCGTCAAATGAGAAGACGAATTTTACCTTAAGTGATTCTCAAAATCTCTATAAACTTCTTCTATTAACTTAGCGGCCAATTTTTTGAAAAATTCTGATAACTGCTCTAAATAAAAAAATAATAAAAAGAAACATTCAGTTGTACCTCATTTTGCCATGGTATTGAAACAGATCCTGTGCTGAATTTTCCATAAAACTGATTATCTGTTGCATCTAATCTTACACCTTTAACAGTGCTGAATTGCTCGATGTCAAGCACATCTTTGGCGTACACAGCTCTGGGATCAGGACAAAACGGTGGTGTCAACTAAAAATATAAAATAAAAAATTGGATTTAAATAAGGTCTTCACTGAAAGATTCAACAATTTGGCACACTTTTATATTCCGTTCAAAAAAAAGAAAAAACATTGCGATAAACCACAACTTCATAATATAATGGTAATAACTATATAATGATCAAAACTGGTGCTGGCATTCTTCACTGATTTCATATAGCTGAAAAGATAGAAAGCCATCTTCCGTTATCAGTCTTAGCCCCAAGTACAATCATACCGTTAGGACAAGTAAACCTAAAAGGGAAGAGTATAAGGTAAAAATGGAGTAACAAAATGATAAGCGAAATGAGCATGCATAAAATCTACCCATTAGTGTGCACATTTTCAGCTCTCTCTTCCAATGTAATATCGATGGGTGGAGGAAATAGGACATATATTTTACTTTAATTTAAAATCTTTTAAGTGAGCGAAGTTATGTTAAAATTGATCGTTCCATTTTATCATTCATTTAAACGCTTTCTTTAAAAGTTTGCCTTTATATACCTTTCCAGCTTCCATTTTCTTCCAAGGAATTGGTTCCCTACCCGTATTCACATCTCCTTGTGAAAAAAAAGGATGACTTTTTAACTCTTCAGCACCTTCTTCTGGTTTACCAACTCTGCGACATCCAAGTCTAAAGCCTGGTTCTTTGTGTAGAAGACCTCTGAAAAATTAATAAATAAATTAATTAATTACTATACCACTAAATACAGACATTTCTATAAATTAATCTGTTTACTTAGATGATAAAATAAAATATGATATGAGCTAATGACAATAATAATTTAAATAACACTTTGTTTATTCAAGTTGATAGTAAAAGTCATTCATACGATCATACGTTGTGGTTTTCAATCTCATAAACAATTTGATACGCATAACTATATCACGTAACTAAGACTAATTAAAAAGACATAGGCAAGCTAGAAATATGCGTGCCCGACCGCAATAAAAGCGTAACCCGTCTTTCACAAAACCAGATTAAACTTTTTTGCCTGCTTTTAAAAGAATCAGCTAAACCTTTAGAGTAAATTTAGGATTCCCATTCCAACCGAACTAAATTATTTTATGGAAATCGATAAAAATTTTCATAGCCATTAATTTATTTATTCAGCTTATCGATCCAATTAATATACTAAATAACTAAATTATTTTGATGGTAACCAAGATTACTTTTAAATGAAACTTTGTTAATCTAAATAGTAACACGCTTTTGATCCCTGTGTAATTTCACTTTTTACACATCTAGATTCGCTTCATTTTACAATATTTTTTAGTTTATCGAGCTTCAAATATCTCATGCATTATTCTGAAGTATCTAAATCAAGAAAAAGAAGCGAAATGTGACTATCTTTACCTGCATATAGTCCTGCCAGATTCACTAAATTTATCCGAATATTTTTCTTGATCCTCACGGACTCGTCGTTCCACTTCTTCACGTTTTACTTTTTCCTTCCGTTGCCGAAAAGGCGCCTTAAATAATAAAACAGATAATAGCAACAAAAAGCAGTCTCAACAATCTATCATAATGAAACAGCAACACTACAAAAACTATTTTAAAAAGAAAGAAAATAGCAGCAATATCGTCGACCTTTCCTTCCATCATTTCATATATTAGGCAGCCCAATCCCCACCAATCGACACCATATGAATAACGTTCATTTTTGATAACTTCTGGCGCTGAAATATGCAAAAAAAAAGTAACGCTGAGAAAACAAATCTGAAATTAGAATGACCTGTTAGCAGCTATGGCTATATCAACTCGCCATCACATCAGACAATGAGTGTTACTTTTATAACTGCAAATAATATAAAATTGCAATAAATATTCTTATGTTAGTCGTATAAATATGCTTAATGCATACAAGGACAGTTTCCAAATCATTACCCTTATTAATGTTAGCAATAATATTTAACAATTTGAAAAACATAAATTTGCGCCATGCATTTCGACTTTAGTGCCACCTCGAAAATGCCAAATTACTTCCATAATAGCTTTTGAAGTTCACACAATTGCATCTTGTAGTGATATCTCATCAGCAATAAAATAACGTTACAACTAACTCACCCATATAGCCAACTGTGCCAACACGTCCTTTTATAGGTTCATTATCTCTTAATTCAACTGCAAGTCCTAAGTCGGATATTCGGACATGCCCTAAAACGTAACTGAATTACCAATCTCTCAATGAAAGCCCGAGCAACTTATGAAGTGAACATTAAAGGGCAACAAACAATAGTTCGTGTCAGGCAGACTTGTATCTAAACCTCTGTGCCACATTACCAAATGGGATTTAATTTGAAGGTGTGATGAATTCTCCACTTCTGTTCACTTAATTTCTAAACGAACAAATAAAACTAAAACAACCATAATCATCAAGAAGAATATTTTCTGGTTTTAGGTCTCTGTAAATGATATGCTCCTTGTGTAAATGTTGCAAGCCGAGAGTGATTTCAGCAGCATAAAATTGCACTCGTTTTTCTTCAAATCCACCAGGTATTAAATTGTATAAGTGAAATTTCAGATCTCCTGAAAAGAACTACATCGATTAACAGTTATCACTTTCTCCTCGTACTTTTTCTTATTGTTATCTGCCGTTTTAGTGAATGATAAGAAAGATTTAATGCAATATTGATGATGGTGAACATAAAACGAACCTCCATTCATAAGCGTCAAAACTAAGCATAAAGCATCCTTTGTTTCATATGCATATGCAAGGCTAACCTGAAAGGCAACGATTAAATGATATCTTGTAACATAAATTTATGCTCCTTAACAATCCATTATCACAGAAGTATTATCCGCTTCTTTTTTGAACTGCGTTTACCAATGGTGTGGTTGCATACTCAATACAATTTGCCGAAGCACTCATTCTGTCAGCCGCCAATTCCACTTTCACAATCAAACTCTTTACTGCACAGATTACTGATAATAAGATTTCCAGTATCACACATTTCCATCTATCATCGTCGTCTAACCCATCATTTCTCATCCAGACCACTTATTACTGCCTCTTCACCCAGCTCCTTTGCACAAATCTTTCCCTTCAGTAATAAAAAAATGAACACAAAAATATGCATACAAACAACATGAAAAACTGAACATGAACAGTAATTTGTATCCTTGAAGAAACTGAGCAAAGTTCACTTTTACAACAAAGAACGCATCGCTGAAAACGACGAACCACAAACGGAGAATTGATTTTCTGCAGGATTTGCTTTTCATTTAGACTGAGAGCCTCCGCATGTCTCTTTTTCACCCTCTTCTTTTCCAAGTTTGAAATTTGAAGAAACTGAGCAAAGTTCACTTTTTCAAGAAAGTACGCATCGCTGAAAACGACGAACCACAAACGGAGAATTGATTTTCTGCAGGATTTGCTTTTCATTTAGACTGAGAGTCTCCGCATGCCTTTTTTTCACCCTCTTCTTTTCCAATTTTTTCAAAGCGTACATTTTCCCAGAAGCTCTGACCTAAAAAAAATTAACAATTACTGAAGACAAAATGAACTGTCTAAATGTCCTATCATTTACCTGAATAGTTTTTTGTAAAACAAAACTGAAAAATTTATGAAAATCAAAATTACAACAGAGGTTATAATTTTGACTCTCATAAATTATAACAGCTCAGCAGGTAATGTATGGAGAGAATATAAAACTTCGATCTAAAAAAAATCTTCCGCAAGATGTTGTTAACAATGAACAAAGTACATAAAAAACCAATTTTGACCGAAGGAAAATTTTCATGAAGCGATTTCGCAACGAATTTTTGAGCTTTGGGCAAAAGTTTTCCGTTGACTTTTCTAGAATCATTTTTCTGCATTTGCTACTAAACAAATTTATTCCATTTCTCTTTAGCTTTTCGCTTGAACGCAATCTTTTTCTAAATGAATCAGTCATAATCAAAATTTCCAAAAAAAAACTCTAGTGAAAATTTTCAAAATGTAGCAGTCATGTTCTTTCATATCCCAAAAACATTAACAATAAAAGATAGGTAATGTTATTCTCGGTTAACACTTCCCAACAGTTTCGACACCTTTCCCCATCATGAAGCGTCTTCCATAAAATTTCACAACAAAAAAAGCTTAATAAAATTCTATGTACGTGTAAAAAATATGATCTGATTGCTGAAAAACTGAAAGAAGAATGGAGAAAATCAGAATGTCGAACCATCCAAAACTGAAATATATCCGGAAAAGCATGTCTCCCACTCCAACAAAAAAAGAAAAAAGAGAAAACCGTCGACATTATTTTGTTATGTCATACAAAGAAATACAAAATATATTAATCCAAAGGCTTTTCTCTGATAGAAAATAATAACTGCAGGAAAAAAGACCGAATACACGAAAACTATACTTGACAAGCGCAAACTTCTCCGAAACCTCCTTTTCCAAGTACCCGGTATAAACGAAATGTATGCTTATCTACAGGCCTTTTCTCCAACCATTTCCACTGTAAATAACGGTGAAAATAACGCGATTCCAAGAATTTTCGAAAAGATCGATCAGCAAGGAATGATCGCACACTTCTGAAATATGTCAATATATCTTTATATAACTGTCAGCAGGAACAATATTACTCAATCATATTGAAGCCTGAGAGAGCAGGAAAAGCAAAAGATGGATGAAGAAAATGAGTCTTTACAAACGACTACAAATAGAGTCGTCCGTCAAAGTCTACTCCGAAATCACAGTCAAGCATAAATTTGTATTCAAAAAGCACTTAAGCCACCATAGATTGATAAAAAATAGGACTTGCTTATAACTGGATTTGAAACAGTTCTATTTTAAGTATTTTAAATGCAGAAGATATATTTGAAAAATAAGAATATAAACTGAAACTTATAAAAACCTCAAAATTCGTAGAATAGCAGATTATGCTTCATTCACTTCCGTTTTCTGTAAGAAAAGCAGAAAACTAACTTGTATGCTTCGAAAAATATGCCACTAGACGGTTCAGATTCCTGTGACGCATCATTGGCAGTGGTAATGAATTTCTGTATATAATCTTCCGATAAGAAGCTGCACCACAGTGAATCATTGGACGACTGTAAAAAAAGAAAAGAAAATATGGTGTGGGTAATTTAAAACATTATCACTGCAATGATACAAACAAATACCTATCGGATTAAAAACCAAAGAAAAAAATGAAAATAAATTCAAACTGGCAGCAGTTACTTTAAAGTTTTCGTATTTTAGCATAAAAATTTGACTTTTCTTTCTCTTCTCCAACTTCTTCTCTTAAGTATTTGTAAAATAATTTGAAGAAACTGATAAAAACATATCAAGACAAATGAAGGTAAAAATTACGATGAAAGTCACAGAACAAACAGTTAAATAAAGCGCTAACCAAAATCAGTTAGAAGAGGTGACGTGGACAGATAAATTCAACAAAAATGTAAGAATAATATAATAAGAGATACATACACAGGGTGCGTCATTCTCTATTGACAAAAGTGAGGCAATTGATTTGGCCAATAATCGGCGACTTTTGCCATCATCGTCAGATGTTTCGTATTCTTCAACTTTACATAAAAAGGCCCATGCTCTTGCATATCGTGCATCTGTGTTACAGAATTGCTCAAAAAGCAATTTACCGATTGGTTGCTTTTCGACCACATAACTATAGCTGCAAATGATTGACAGTAGCGTAGACAGCTATAAAACGTTAATCTCGATTTACAGTGCTCAGCTGTACTCACACATCAGATCTTCCATGATATGCTCGCAATTTCGATATGAATGCCGCAGTTCACGTTTTAACAAAATCGAAATATGTTTTTCGAATTAGAAAGATATGCGATCGGGAACATTGCAAGCATGTCATTTACATGGTAGACAAGATGTTTTAACTGAAAATTTGAAATCTCTGGAACCCAGAATACAAGAACTAGTGACATATTTTTCCAGCGCCTATGGATTTTTCTTTTCGATGTGTATAAAAGAGTAACTTTTTTCGATTTTATTCAGCTTAAATTAGTAATCCGTCTAGTGTACATGTTGATAAAGTAATTCCAAGAAGCTGAAACAATTCACTTGTAATATCGGTGTATTCTTCTAACAAAAAGTGCATTCATTTCTAATCTGCTATTTTGGTTCACGCATGACAAGTGTTAACTATTAGGTATTCTCTTAAAGAAAAATTTAGCGTCAGAAGGTCTTCTGGACGAAGGATAGATATACGATATTATACAGCTTTTCATCAAGATCTCAAGTAAAATAAATGATCATATATCTCTATTGAAACAGACAAAAACAAAATAAAACTGAAATGTGACAAACGCGCACATCTAGAAGAAAAAATTGAGAAATCGAACATGGAACTACTAAACCTCAAGCTATTGGATATGAGTCACAAAGAAAGAAAACGTGAGTCGGAGCAAAGAAGATCCTGCAAAAAGATAATTACTGGGACATAAGAACACTGCATGAAAAGGAAACCATTCACACAGACATCGGTAACCTATTTCATGTTGTGTTCATTACAGTGGTTCGTTTATGTTTGTACAAGTAAACTACAGGGAGCATGCGATCACAATAATTAACTTTTTCTAGCAAAAACAGCATTTCCGAAGTATCTGTATATCTGCACCTCCATCTATTCTTAATTTGAAAATCGATATTGAATTTATCTTGACTGAAATTGTAGTTTATCTTGATTTTAATTTCAAACATATTAATCTAACAGTTCACGGTTATCAGTTCTTGAAGACCGGAACTTATGATCTAGTCCAAGAGTATAAATTAACAATTTTTACATCAATGTAATGCCGAGAAAGTATTGCATTGAACAAATAGCGCAGTTACCTGACATCAATCTCCGATCTGAGGTATAAACATTCCGTGTAGTGCGGGAACTGCAAATAATTCTTCCACTTTTTACTCTTCCCTTTCTTTTGACCGCCACCTAGAAAAGAAAAAACAATAGATTTGATCAACATTTACTGTGAATTGTTTTAATGATTTAATCTTTTTTTAACGGTAACTATATTAGTTAATAATCGACATCTAGATTTTTAAGTACAAACTTTCTAGATCTTCATCTGAACTCGATTTATCGTAAGCTTCAATTATGCGCAGAGATGTAATCAATCAAGTTCAAAATTTTTAAATGAACAAAGATGGCAATCACTTGCAGACATCAATATATAGAATCTCGAGAATGAAAGGGTACTTTTTATAATCGTGTGAGTAGTATTAATTACCAAATAAATTCCTACGCAGCAAAACGAAGCGCAAATATAAAGTGTAGAGACTCTAACCACTGTAGACAGACATTATCAAAATGCATCACAGATAAACAACCACAAAATTCAAAAAGACTTCAGGTTTGAAATGCCCCAATTCTTTTCCCTTCACTCTGATTATAGATCTAGGACTAATTAATTTTAATTCATTCTTGCTTCACCGACTCCTTCAATTATGGATTTAAGTACATTAAATTCACATAAGAGCAGCCCTATTTTAATTTTTAAAATACTCACATTCACTAATTTTTTATGTCTCCTCGGCATTCAACTTGAGAAAAAAATTCTGCAAGTAGATCTTGCAAAAAGCACTTAGCTCTAAGTAATTCTATGAAGTCTTTCGATTTCAGTAATCAAGCACTGAGTCCATAGATACAAATACTTAGAAGTTAGACGTACACATGCATTTAAGATCATATGGAAATGAATCACTGCAACAAATTTTTATCCTTTACAAGTCAAATATGCATGATGTGAAAACGTCACTTTTTACCAATTAAACCTTAAACATAACATAAAATCTAATGCGATTTCACCAAAATAATGAACTTAAAAATGACTCACTATCTCTCATCTCCACATTTCTTATTAATTCGTAGTAAACTGAAAAGTTCTCCCACAATTTTTAGGATTGGACAATTGCCAGAAGTTACCAGCTTACGACATTATTCTCGATTTCTCCCCCTCATCCAACGAATGGGAACTGAATGTTTCATCTTGAATTTTAACCCAACCCACGCAATCTATTCTTTCATAAATCCGAACCTTACCGACACAGATTTCGGATGTTGATAACACTATCATAAGTCTAATACTTCATCAACCTAACTGTAAAATTTCTGATCTCCTCATTTAACTGAATATTATAACGAAAGGAAAGAGTTCGGTATCCTTAGAAATAAAGGCTACATACATTATTGTCTCTCACAGATAAAACAAATGATACAAAGGAGAGTGTGAGTTGTTGTTTCCGAAAGAACTCCTAATTTCGGGATAAGTTGATACTACTTGCTTATGAAATTTCAAACTGAGTTTTGGCGACTAATTTGAAAAGTAATGGAAAACTCTACACGTGTTTGATTTTACAAAAGAGCCATACGAATCGGAAAAAACATATATTTTTTCTTCTCAATTCCTCTGCCATTTTTATACAGTCATGAATTTTTCACCCATCTTCAAAATCACATGCTGTTCCAGATCTCTTAATTTTTTCTCGACAAGGCTAAGAATTTAGATCACTCAACAGAAAACCACACATCTTTGCAGCAGATTTGCATTGAGTTGATGCAAAATTAATTGCGGCTTTCAAACAGTAAATTTTAAATCACTATAACTAAATTTAAGCACATATTTATTAATCAAAGTAGGAATTATAACAATGAGTATTTTTGCTAATCCAGTGACTTAGAAATATATACTTCAAATTTGGCGAAACCTTGTGAAATACTTTATGCATTCTGCCTAGTATCGAAATATCTTCTTTGCAAAACATTGTTGAAAGGATTGGTAGTAATCGACTGACCAGCAGTTAGGTAAACATGGGTAGATGTGATGAGAATCTATCCAACTTATGGAGTGCGAACTATGCGATGTACATTTGGGTGTTGCCATAAGAAAGAATGAGGCTTTTTTGCTGCCCAACGTCGGCTTCAGAGGCTGCAATATGTGTTGCACCATAAATTTGTTGAAAACATTTCTCGAATATTTGTTTGGACTCATAACGCTATGGTAGTCGAAAGTCAATAAATGGTGACCATCTTTTCGATAAAATTTTGATTTTTAAAAGTATTTTGGAATTAAACCAACTGTTCAGCCGGTCATCACAACTTGGACTTTCCATTTTCCGTTGAAGTCATTCATAATTCAACCAAGTGATAATTTCGGTCGGATCGTTTTAGAAGATACGGAAAAGACAGTTCAAAACGACGATCTGTCACTTCGCCCACTTCGTTCATGAAACACAACTTACTCGGTTTCTTCAGCTTTCATATTTACTTCATATACTGAACAACAATACAATAGCCGACATTGAGCTATTCGGCAAATTTTCTTGTAACTGTAGGAAAATTAACTTCGATGATTACTTTCAAATCGTCGTTCTCAATTTTAGCAGTTCTTGGTCTCCCAAACGCTTTTGAGATCGAGCATCTCCATGGTCCAAAATAAACGTTAAATGAACAGCAATAAGTCATTACCAAAAAACGTAAGCAGGTAATGCGCATTAAAATGATGTATAATACAACTGGCCACATGTACTTGAGAAAGTATTGTGATATCAGATACCAAATTCAAATTTCAAAAATGCAAAAGCGTAACTATTTCTGTACCAATTTAAATATATAAATGAATAGAGAAAAAAATTCAAGTAAAATTTCTTGCGAAGATTTTAAGTAATCTAGATTTGGAATAATGCAATAATTTCTCTTTATTATAATTCTTACATGAATAGATACATTAATGGACATTTAGATGCTCACCTACAGCTATAAAGCAACTTAAACAGTAACTTAATCGCAAATACTTTGTCAAAATTAAACATGCTTCAATTCGTCAATACTCCTCCAGAATTAGGTAGTAAAAGTGATCATGGTGAATAATTGCATAAAGAGCCAATGATAACGTGAGCCGATGCGGTTTGCTGATCAAACGGATAAATGGCAGCTGTTTATTGGAAAAGTAAAATGCGATGTAAATAAAAAGCAATGCTTCAAATTCAGTCGCAGAGACCGTTTTTATGCAAACCAATCAGTGGTTAAATAATACGGAAAATAAAACAACCAATACAGACAAAACGATCAATGAACTATCATCAGATGGAAGTGAAAATCATTAAAAGGACAAAAGTTGAGAAGTGAGCTGATCAAACTTGTATGATAATGGTAAAGGAGACAACTAAAAATAAGCTATTGAAGTTAGTAACAGAACAAGAAGACGCTAAGCTTAAGAAAAGAAGAGCAGCTTTATTTTTATGTATGCAAGATTTGAGGAACATTTTGGAAAGCTTGATGGAAACTGTCTCTGAATGAAGCTCCCGCCAGGAGCAAATTATCACCTACAGTAGACATACACACCTGTGTGCATCACAGACGATCCAATAACTCTCATAAAGGGGGAAGGGAGATTCCAGATGATAGGCATTACACGGATCCGGAACGACGGATAATCTAACAGAGGCAAGGGAGGGATTGATGCTGCTGCAAGAATGCCTCTTGTGACGGAAGGAAGAACTGTGGAAGTGATTCAGGACGGAACTAAAAACAGAAAAAAAAGAAGATGATAGCTTACTTTCTCGAGCCTTAATGTAGACGGTGTTGGCGACGATATTCTCGATCTCCATGAAGCTACACTCACTGCATTCCCAATCGCATCATCCTCAATTTCATCTTCCCGTTCCTCCTGCAATCCAACAGCCGTCCACCGCAACACTCCCCATTCTTTCCTCTCCGGTATGCCACTCTTTTTCCCCACCTTCCTCCCTTCCCTCCACTTTCTCTTCACACTTTCTCCTCTCTTAACAGGAGTGCATTTCTAAATTCCTGAGGGCCTCCTTGAATTGCAGCTGCAGTAGCATTGCAGTATCACTACGTTGTTGCTGCACTTCTAAAGATTTCTTTTTCATTTTTTTCTTTAGTTTCCGTGCAACCAAAAGCTCAACGCTTATTATCTGTCGTCTCATGCATCTATTTTTATTTATCATTGGGGAAAATCTAATCGATTGGCTCCCTCCGTCTTGCACAGCACACATTTCTCGCAGTTTTACTATTACTGCATGCTAATGCTAATGACATGCAGCGTATGTGCATGTATCCAGCGGTGGGAGGAGCATGCAAACAGCCAGGATATGCAAGATGCTAATATGATATGCCCTCCTGTACAATCACGTCTCACTAGTAACTGTTTTAGTTGTGTTTTCATTTACAGCAGTTTTCTAGTAGTCATGTCGTTGCATGAAGAAGTTGGAGACACTTCCGATCTGGTAGGAGTTCGAAAAGTCATCCCATGTTTATCAGAACAGATCACTAGGTAGATATTTGTCGCAGTTCCATACTTCTACAAAACCGAGTAGTGTTACGTTGGATGTACATGGTGCCAGATTGTTTGCAATAAGAAAAGTATCCATCCATATGCCTGAAGCGATCTCGACATCGCTCACTGAAATGACTTTTCGCTAGTCAATAGCCAGGCGATATCACTCAGTTAGAGGTGTCAACAGTAAGCGAATTTCAAAAATAAGACTCAGCGATCGTAGAACACTGTCTCCATCTGTGGTGGTCATCTCTTTCCCTCTTGAGAGGGAGGACAGCGCTCTCGTCATTGTCTTTTCTGTTTCTGTAGCTAGAGAATTCCTGCTTCGCACTAGAATGCTCAATGACTTGGTGAGTTGTAGCACTTCTTCATCTCAACTTAGGGTTATCTGAAGGAAGGATAGATGCGTTTCTCGAAAACAACATGGCGCATCCTAGTATACTTGATGCCTCGAAATT